CAGAAGTCGCTGACATTTTAAATTCCCGGATAACGAGCGACGAGATTGACAAGGCAATTTCGGGACTCATAGGGAACAAGGCCCCTGGACCAGATGACTTGGATGGAAGCCATTAGAAAACCTTTAAAGACGAACTGATCCCTCATCTAGTTACCTAATTTAATGACTTTAGGAATGTGGGCATCCCTGCCAGAGACACGACCCTGGCTACTATAGTTCTCCTCCCCAAAAAAGGCAAAGATCCCAGAGCACTACCGGCCCATTTCGCTCATTGATCATGACACAAAGCTCCTAGCGAAAGTCTTAGCAGATAGGTTGAACCCCTTCCTAGGGAACTGATGTGGATTAATTTAGAAATAAACAAAAATGTTTAAAAGTCTATCTGTTCCTGTCCAAATCTGAGATGAATAAATTGCGTATACGCAGAAGTAAGTTTACACTGACACATGCAGTTCAGGTTAAAAACACTTCAGGAAATTTATTAGCATCTAGTTAAAAAGCGGGCACGCAGGCCTTTTTATATGCAAAATGGCATCATCATTGAATATCAGATAATAACAAATAAACATCATTAATAGGGTTAAATGTTAAGTGGCTATGTCAGTGTCCACCCATTAATATTATTAATTGGCTCAGAGATTTGAGTGACTAGTGAGGCACCCTCCCATCATGGGATGTCGTCGCCATTGCTCTTTAGCACGAGGCTTACTCGGTGGAAAGGGGGGGCTTGGGCATCATTTTACGTAGTTAGTGATGTCAGTCTCGTGGTCTGTTCCAAGGTTCTTTTATGAATAGAACATTTCATTTTGTCGCTGTTCTCCTGGCCTTGGATTATACTATGTTGCAAGTCAACGGAGATCCGCTAACTCCGGGGCTAGTTATGTCCTTAGAGAGAGAAAATACAATCTCTTATTCATTATATTGAATACCGTCATGTAAGGTGAACAAAATGGAGAGTTCTGTCACAGTGTGAGATTAAAATGGAGTTAGTACAATAATTCAATACAGGTTCTAATAAAGATTTTAATAATTCTACATCAGTCCCCCCTATGAAATGTTAGATTCTAAAAGATAAACTTTATTTGTTAGTATCAGAAGACGTGTTAGCCCAAAGGCACAGAAACCCCGTGACCCGCTAGCTAGGTGTTATTGCAAAGTGCAAAGCTGTCCCTTCGTCTGTCCCTAATTTGCTAACTCATCTGTCCGCTGGGCACTCGAACACTTCACTCCATGGGTATCCCGAGGTGGCTAACCCACCACATCTCCGCACGGTAGACTTCCCAGACAGACAGATGCTGTCCCTAAGCTGGTCCCTTCCTAGAACTCTTGCACTTTATCAATAAACGGGATAGATTGTAGCGGTATACAGGGCGAGTTGACTTTTTGGAAATCTTGGTCATCAACTGTGAGGTGTGCGTAAGTGGGTGCCGCTTGGTCTACAGTCTTCAAGAGGAGCTTTCTCAGACAAGGGAGGACACAACAAACGAGAAGAGCAAAGATAAAAAGGAAAATTAGTATTGCTATACCAATATGCATCAAAGCTTTTTGCCATCCTGTCATCCAACCAAACCATCTCTCCCAGGGATCTTTTATCCCAGAGTTCCTCTTTAGCTCCTCAGAGAGCTCTTTCAATTTTTCTATAGCTAAGGTTACTTTACCATTGGGGCCTGTGTTTTCTGGGATGTAAGTACAACATGTCATGGTGTCAGGCAGAATTTTACATACCCCTCCTTTTTCGGCTAGAATCATATCTAAAGCCATTCTATTCTGGAATGACATTTGGGACGTAGCCTGCAGCTGTTCGGCCAAACCCTGAAGGGCATCCCTGGTGTAATTAACAAACCGTTGTTGGTTGTAGTAGATGTAATTTATCCAATTTAAATTCTTGTTTGCAGTGACTATGGTAAAAAGTGATTCAAATCCTGCAGCAACTTCATCCCTGGCTTTAAACTCATTGGGCACCCCCCTAGGTACCCCAATGGCATCAATGTAAATATGAGGGTCAAAACTGCCTTTTACTGGGGCTTCACGCTTTACCTTGGTTGGTGAGTGTTTGGACTCATGAGTATCGGGGTGTGTGTCAGAGATAATATGTATGGGCATGATTGCTTTAGCCAGAGTACACTCCCCCCACCATTCTTTATCCATTCTTGATCTCAGCTGTAGATCCCCACACAACCAGTAAATATCCCCCAATGATCTAGTGTGGAATTGTAGGAGGTTCATAGAGACAGTTCTGTAGGTGGCACAATAACCTTTAGAGAAGTTACCCACAAATTTACCAATTCCATCATAATTAGCATAACAGGTATAATTACCTTTATAGACGGTAACACCATCTGGGGGTTTGCAATCTTTGACTAGAAGAGGATACTCTACTGTCCATGCTTTACATATGGACCTATTGAAATTGTAGTGATAGGCAAAAAGACTCAGAACACATTCTTCTATATCTACTGGCAAAGTTAAAGGCACAGTGCCCAGGTGTGGCCGGGCACCACCACACACATAGCATGCGGTTCTGTTATGTTTGTTGGCATTATATTTCATCCATTCTAACCATAGATTAACATCATTGAAACCTGTTTCAGCGGCCATGGTATCTTCAAATGTTGGATTTGCAATGGCCATCATGTCTTTAAAAGATTGGATGTGTGGTTTCAACGGATTTGAGACCATGTGGGTGGTCCCTTTCCACTCAGGAGAGTGGCACATATCTTTAAGGTGGAAATGTCCTAATTTATTATAGGAACCCTTCTTCCAGTACATTCCCATTACATACTGGTCTGCATCCGTTGGGCTGGGATGCTCAATGTTTAAGATTAATTTCATAGGTATGCCTCCTCCGGGCTTTCTTAGAGTCATTCTCTGGAGGAGGGACCTACCGTGATCATCAATTTTAGATAAGGCACTTTTTGGTTTGTAACCCCAGGCAGGCCCGGCATTCCATCCCGCCGCCCCCCAATGGTTACAGTTGTGCCCCCATTGTTTGTCAACTACACAAACATAGGGGTCTTTTGAATGAGGGATATCTCTATAGATATTCTGAATCTGTGACGTGGGGAATGGGCATTCTACGATGTCACAGTAGTCAAAAGTATAAGTAGCCACACGGGTACATGATGAATTATACCAGAAGGTGTACCCACTAGCATCTTTAGTGATGGCTACTTGTTGAGCTTTAATTAAGCTGATTAAGAAGATACTGTACCAGAGGTACATGGTGGTGCGGTACTAGCTTCCTCTGGGGCAAGTACTTTCTTACAATGGGAAGCGTGGATCCAATGTGGCCGGCCGGCCAATTTGACGGAGGTTGCGGTGATTAGGAGAACTTGGAATGGCCGTCAAATCTTGGTTCCAAGGTATGTTTCCGCACAAACTTCTTGACCAGAACCCAATCTCCAGGAGGCAGGCTATGGGTACCTGTATCCAAATCGGGATCTGGAATTGAAGAGAAAACTTGGGCATGTATTTTGTTCAAGGCACTTGCAAGTTCAATTACATAGTCTACTAAAACATCAGATTGAAGCTGTAACTGTTGTGGATAATAACAACCTAGTCTGGGTGCGGTCCCAAATAGAATCTCGTATGGGGATAGTGAATGCTTCCCTCTAGGTGTGTGCCTAACACTAAATAGAGCTATTGGTAGACTTTCTGGCCAGGGCATCTTTGTTTCTTGTGACATTTTAAGCATTCTGGCTTTTAAGGTGCCGTTCATGCATTCCACTTTCCCACTACTTTGTGGGTGGTAAGGGGTGTGAAAGGCTAGGGTCACCCCCAGAGCAGTCCAAATCTCTTTAGTCACTGTTGCTGTAAAGGCTGGGCCCTGGTCACTTTCAATAACTTCTGGAAGTCCAAACC